GATGCACTTATTCATGCCACAAACTTAACTCACCCATCCGAAAAGGCTGAAATATCGCTAACAACTCATGCTTCCGATACTGCCATTGGAGCCGTTTTACATCAGATTGTGAATAATGAAAAACAACCCTTAAGTTTCTTTTCCCGAAATTTGACATCAGCACAATAAAAATATAATGCCTACGACAGAGAACTCTTAGCCATCTATACAGCAGTAAAACATTTCAAATATATCTTAGAAGGGCGAACTTTTGCAATATACACAGATCACAAACCACTAAGATTTGCCTTCCAACAAAATTTGGAAAAAGCTTCGCCACGACAAGCTAGACAACTATCATATATAGGCCAGTTCTCAACCGATATCCTATTCATACAAGGGCATGAAAATACCGTCGCTGACGCTCTCTCTCGCATAGACACCATTTCTGTACCATCTGCAATAGACATACAAACTATAGTAGACTGTCAAGAAGATGACGACTTGGAGACACTAAAAAACAACCCAAACTTAAAAATCCTACAGATCCCTATACCACCGGACAGCGACAAGAAAATTTACTGTGATACTTCTACAAATTATAATCGACCATACATCCCTGCAAAGTTTTCGGCAGAAAATATTTTCGTCAATCAATCCATAATTTATCTCATCCTGGAATAAGATCCACGATAAAATTGATAACACGACGTTTCATATGGCCCAATATGAATAAAGACTGCCAACTATGGACTAGAGCATGTTTATCTTGCCAAAGATCTAAAGTTCACAGACATACACATTCATCTTTGGGAGAATTCAAAGTACCTCTACACAGATTCCAGCATTTAAACATAGATCTGGTTGGTCCGCTACCTCCTTGTAAAGGATTCAAATATCTTCTAACCATCATCGATCATTATACACGATGGATCGAAGCGGTACCGTTAAAAGATCAATCAGCAGAATCTATTGCTAAAGCTTTGATTTATACTTGGTTTTCACGCTTTGGAATTCCGAATCGCATAACATCTGACCAAGGTGGGCAATTTGATAGCCAACTTTTTCAAGCTTTAGGAAAATATTTTGGTTTTCATACAAACACTACAACTGCGTACCATCCACAGGCAAATGGCCTGATCGAAAGACAACACCGAACTTTAAAAGCAAGTCTCAAATGTCATCTACTCGAATCAAAATCATGACTGGAAGCATTGCCTTTCGTTCTTTTAGGCATAAGATCTGCCATCAAGGAAGACTTAGGTTGTTCATCCGCAGAACTTGTATACGGAACTCCTTTAGCATTATCTGGTGAATTCTTTTCAACAGTACCTCATATGAAACAGTCTGAATTTTCTAAAAACCTTCAGAAAATAATAAGAGCTATGAAGCCAAGTTCTACCACCACCCATGGAAATAGAACAGTCTTTGTTTCTAAACATCTTTCCAACTGTTCTCACGTATTCCTATACAACAACATTAATAATTCGTCGCTACAGCCTATCTTGGACCGTATCCTGTAAGAGCAAGAAAGGATAAGTACTTCGCTATTGAAATCCAAGGAAAAGTTAAGAGTTTCAATAGACAGACTAAAGCCATGTTTCCTAGTGCAAGATTCTGATACTCCTTTTCAAAAATCCCATTCCAAGAAAGCGGAACTTGGGGAAACACCTGCACTCAAGAACACTGAAGAAAATTCAGAAACTCATCATGAAACCAAGACTACTAGAACCGGCAGACATGTGAAGTTCCCCAGTCACTTTAAAGATTATCTTCGCTGTCACTAGGAAGGGGGTGTGTAGTGTCGCTTCAGTTCCGTTAAGTTTCTAATGAAATTTAGTTAAAGCGGAATGGCAACACCTTCTAGTCTCCGCGAAGAACGAAGTAAACAAACTTCGAGTTTTTGTCACGCGATGCTACGTGCATGTAAAATGTAAATAAATCTTATGAATAAGAATCTATAACATCGTAAGGAATAAAATATTGGTTCCATTGGAGTCAGAGAAGTGTTATTTTTCTATATTTGCACACCAGACACTTCAAGCTGTAAAGCTTTTGCTGCAAGTTTAAGTCCTGCAGACTCAATTATACAAATAACGAGTTACAGCTACGTTTCAAATAACATACAAGAGACGGAAGAAATGTTAAAATAAGCACTTTTATTTAGTCTTAATGTAACAGGGCAGACATAATTTGTGCTGGAAACGAAATTTCCACAGTTTGTGGATTGCCAGATTAATACAAAAGAGAATTAAATTCAAACGTTGATAACGTAGTTTCAGACTACAACAGACTTAACAGTTTAAACATTAAATTAAGATTAAACAGACTTAAAACAAGCTGACTTAAATATTTTATCGAAAGTATTTAAAACATCGGCTACCGGGAATGCTAAAAACGGAATATCACTTTTAAGCAGAGCTGATGAGAAATACTAATAGCAAAATACGGTTGCCAGAAGCTCTAAAGATTTAAAACATTTATCTACGCATAAAGCTAATTTGCATTCTGGTGAAGAATACAAAAAGGAGAAGTTATAGAAACTTAAATTGGAATAACTGATTAATTAATATTAGACACAGAAGTTACAAAGGTTTTGACAATATCTCCGATTTTGAATTACTCGAGAATAGATTAAAATTAAAAACATCTCGTATTGAGCACCAACAGATTACATTCTCAATGTAAAGTCAAACTAATCCCATTTGTGTAGCGTTTATTTCAATTAAAATGTTGGTTTTATGTTAATTCTATCTCAGCACTTATGTTTCTTATGTCAGCTTCACCAGAATGTAAATTAAGTGAATTTAAACAGAGGACAAAGGTGTAAATTTAGAAGGGAGTATTGACAGGGTACCAGGAAAATTTGATTCTCTCGTAAACCACTTCTTATTATTAGTTGCACTGGTTTTGGTGAGTGATTCTTGCATTTAATAGTGTTTATGATTAGAGGTTACGTATAATATAGTGTCACATTAAGTAGTCAATAAATTTATTTACTGTGTTGTACCTATTGAAGCATTTTACCTTGCAAGACCACGCAAGGAAAAAATATAGGTTCTGTTAAATTCTTAGTTGTAACTATAGAAGTCGTACTGTGAATGAACTTTCAGTTTAGTTTTTTTCTACATTTCTTTCTACTAGATTTTCATTTCAGTGCAAGGGTCTGTAGCAGAGGAACTAGGAAGAGTTAAAAGACAATTTTGTTTATTCGCCCAATTATCCTGGGAATTTTACTTGGAAAGCTTTTTTTTTACTTGAGCGCTATAACGCATATGTATCATTTACATTTTCTTCATTTATTTAAATAACTTCCCCAATTTTTTTCAGTTTCTTTTTTTTATGGAAAAATCGCATTTCTAATAGATGTCAGTCAAAGATGACTCTGCAGATCCAGAGATTAAAATATGTAAATCAGAATTTTTATTTATCAAAAATCGCAACGGCTGCTCATTTTTATATGTGTAGGTAATGTCGTTAAAATTTTTTCCCCTCTCTTCAAAACATTTCTTAGAATTGCCAATGAACTTTTGAAATTTGTTCATTCGTGTGATGAAAGATTTAAGTTTGTAGTTTATGTCAAATATTTTACTGAACAAAGTTGAAACATTTCAGATTTCAGGTTGTTATGATTTCAGAACATTTTAAGAGAAGCCTTATATTTTATTTTTTATTTTTTCGCTAAACACAAAAGACGATCAATACAGTGGTTTATTGTCTCATATTAGCTCTGTGAGTCTTTCTACATGCTCAGTTGAGTTTTACGGCAAAAAAGTTAAGTTTCATCTTTTACATTTAAACATATATGTTACGTTATACTATATATATCGGAATTTTCTGGACTGTTATTGTAGCTGCTTCTTTGTTAAACAGAAAGAATATAAAAAGCTGGCGGGAATCAGAATTTCAGGATTGCGTTTCTAGAGAATTGCGTTTCCGCCGTCTTAACTGCCCTGCTCAGCCTCAGTTTTGATGATAAACACATTGGAAATGGAACCGAGGTGCCTCTACTATTTTTCGCCTATCACCAAGGCTTTCTAAAGGATGTTCAGTTCGCCAGTATTTTAAGTACTCTAAAGCTGCGCAAACACTGTACACGACAAAACTCCATGGTTTTAGCAGGATTCAAAACTAGGCCCAACTCTACATCGCTAACTACACTCGTGTGCAAAATTAAGAAAATGTATAATAACAGAGAAAGACATGTACCATTCCCAATTCATTTTATGTACGGATGATTATCAGTAAAGCTCATAATGCAGGGACGTCCAAAATCCATGTTGTGATGACGAACTGAAAATAAGCCTAATATGGGGTATGGTCCCATCTCATTACCATACAGACGTGACGGCATACTGAACAGGAGACAGACAGGTATGCCGAACACAGAGTATGCCAGGATGAATCTGGACTCATCTGTAAAAAGTACGGTGCTCCACTTAAGTCTGGTGGAAAGAATATTGTTGCGTGCGTACGGATTCGTTACTAAATGAATGCACAAGTCCGATGAAAAATGAACAAAAATTTATTATTATCACAACAAAAATGCTTAAATTTTCTCAAATTATCATGCAGTATTACAATATCTCACAGTAGTTATCTTTTAAACTACTCAAATGTCCATTAGAACGTAATTCAAAACAGCTAAAGAAAAGCTAATCCGCGAATTCGCTACAATCAACAAGAGCAGTTTTCTAAACAACAATAAATTAAGCAACTACTACTACAAACTGAGATGTTTTCCCCTCCTTTTATAAGATTTTAAAATCACGCGCTAGAATTTTCCAGCACTTTCTCGAAATCAAAAAGAGATATTTATTTATTTAACGCACGCGCTCTTGTATTTTTAATTTTTCCGGCTTAGCTTTCTTTTAATATTCGTCACGCGCTGCACTGCGCGAGAAATAAAACCATTTAATTTATAATTGAACTAACATTAGCTTTTTAAATACCAAATTCGTAATAATATATTATCTGCACTAAGCTAAAAGATCTCTCTTGCATACTGCACTGAACTGGAAGAAAACAGCGGATCTTCTGGCACACAGCTCTATCTCATCAAGTCTTCGAGCAACTGCAGACTGCGAAACTCGGGTTCTAGTAGCAGCATACAGCTCACATGAGAGTTGTAAAACTGTAGAAGTCCTGTGTCGCTGAGCTAAAAGTGACAAGTAACGATCCACCTTCGTTGTTTTTGATGTTAGTTAATCTTGCGTAACTCTTCTCTATGTGGATCCAGTGTCTTGAAACTGTTTTCACAAACTGGAGACGACACTAGGTTCTGTAATAACTAACGTTACACTGAGCTCTGTAGCAAGCGGCGAATGTCGTGAAGAATTACGAGTTCCCAGATCACTTAAAACCCCTCTCTTAATTTTGCCCACGAGGTATACGTTACTAATAAAGGCTGCCCAGATAGACATGAATAAGTCGGAATCATAAATCTGCAACCCTCCTGCAACATTCTACCTCTTAACATCGAGGTTTAATGGTGAAGAAACTTTTCAAGTGAGTTCTTTTTTAAACTCTTGTTTTATTTTGTTTGCGGTATCGGCAATAGGTGAAAACATGTTATCTTCAAATGTAGTGCGAAACTTAGTAAATCTACTACTGAAACTCTTTCCACTTTTGTACGGCTTTTGGAGATGATATTAAACAGAACAACTGATTCTGAATGGACTTCACATTTCAAAGACAATTATGTTCGATTTCAAGATGATAAGTGTTCAGGGCCATTACACTTGAGCAAAACGAATTAAAAAAAAAAATTGGGAAACTAATTAAAAAATATCACAGACTGAAAATCCATGAATTCGCAGACAACAAAGGAATTGGGTAAGAAGTTTACCAAACGATTTAAGAAGCAAATTTGAATCGGTAGGGTACGAATTGCGCGAATTTTGATCGAAGATCCCCGTTCCCCTCTTATCTAATCCACGAACTGCGCGACGTTTCCTGTCTCCTCTTTCTTTCACAAGAAGATTGTGTGCTACAAAAAGTCATTTACCGCCATTAATGGAACATTTTATTGAGACTGCAAGCCTTTTCGTTTATCAATATTGAAAAAATTGTGCATGCAAAACAAATATTAATTTAAAGTCTGGCGTGCGCTAAAGTAAAAATGAATTTCTTTTCCACTCATTTTAAAGTTTTATGATGCTTAAAAGAATGATGAGACAGATCTTTTTTATTCTCTGTAAGAATTAAAAACTTTCCAAGTTGTAGACTTTAGTCGCTGATATATATATATATATATATATCAGTTTTGAATAATAAAATTGATAGATTAATGACATACATAAAACGGATACATAATCAGCCTATTAAATATCGGATTTGTAGCGCACCTTAAATAAGTTTCTTGTCTAGATAGATTGTTTCTTGTCTAGGTTTATTAATAAACCTTCTTAGATAGCAAAATGTTTTTGATTTCAAATTTACCATTTTAGGTAAACAGTTCCAATTTAATCAAAAAAATTCTCTTTATTAAATCTAAAAATTGAACTTAAGAAGTCGTTCTAAATTCACACTAATATTATTGCAATATATTCCCGTATTAAGCTTTCCATTTTCAGTCATTGAAGTTATTTTAAGGTTATTTAACTTTCTTTATAAATTCCATATTTTAATACTAGAAACGTGTAAATATTTATTCTGTTTTACCAAATACTCTATCTCATGTACTTTGGCATACATTTAATTTCTAATACACATTTAATTAATAAATTGATAATTATGAGCGTCTGCAGGATTTTCATAATTAACAAAAAAAATCGAATTCCCTTATATTCATATCTTGGAATTTTCAGTTCCCTTTTAATCCATTCCTTTTTCACATATTGTTGCACTGTATTCAAGTTTTCATGTATGTAGAATTTATATACTTTGTATTGTATTTATGCCAATTTATATTTAAATGATAATTTTTACAAATTCTTGCATCGCAACTCTGTTATGAAGATGTTTCTAACACCTTGGCAAAGCTGAATCTTCAGCATGCAGCTTATTTTCCAACCTAGTTTCAGGCTGAGTTATTTGTAAAATTAATTATTTGAAATTATTTGTTAACAAAGACGGTCGCTAAATCACGCTAATAATATTTCTAACTGTTGTAATTTATAATGCAACGAGTTCATATGATTTATAATATAATTCATTTATAATTTTTTCAGTATTGAAATTAATAGCAGGTACTGATAATGTTATACATTTAGATTACAATGATTTAGATTGCCATTGCCTTCTTCACTGATGCTTTTATGCTACATTCCTAATATTTCATAATGGCATACAGGTAAGTTTAACTCAATCACCAAACATGTAAATCTCTAATTTAGCCCACTTTTGTTCTTACGTGTGCTGTATCTTCTATTTTCTTTAATATATTGTTCAGCTTAATTTCAAAAGGTCTTATGATCAAGCGGAAAAGTCACTAAACATTGGTCGTTCGACCCGATTTTTTAGTCCCACTGATCCCCCAGCACTTTCTTTTTTGTACTTATTTACTGTGTAAAAATGTAGCGTAAAAATTTCAGTTCGTGAAATAAAAATACTTTTTAAATTTAGTCTTAAAAAATATTACAAAAATTTTCATCTTTACCTTAGCATAGCTTTTTACAAATCGCTCTAATAAGAGAAAATAAGGAAAGAAATTAATTCGGTTTCGGTGACTGATACCTCGGTGCAAATAATATGTAACATTTTCCAAAAGCATAGAGTTTATATTGGATATCGATAAATTAAGGATTATTTCTCCATCTAATTTTCTTAACATGTTTATTCCAGAATTTTCTTTTCACACTATAGCGCTTAACTTTATGAGTTTTCTATAATCATTCAATTTCTCTAGCCATGGCAACTTTGCATACCTTCTGACAAGTAGTCATTATTTTAACCATTGTTATTTTAATTGCTGTTGACTATCAGTACATTATTCACTTGTTTCACAAATGCAAATATTCATTTTATACGCAAATCTATGTAAAACAGAAATAAAGCTTCAGTTATGCGGAGCAGTTGATCAATTGCTTGTTTTAGATTGAATGAAATTAAGCTTAATCTTGCTGTTAATTAGCTTATTATTAATTTAATTATACTTTTCTAATTAATTATATGTTCAGATATTTCCAAACTTTTGCATCCCAATTTTTAATTTTTGGTTTAAAAAAATAAGCTTTTATTTATTGAGGGGCCTGATTGATTATATTAATTTGCAGTACTGTTTATCTAATTCTTTTCTTCTAGATAAATTTTAGAAAAAACGTCTTAGCATAATAATTTAAGTTTATTTACTCTTTATAAGTCAATGTTCAAACGCATAGTAATGTTGTTATAATAGATTTATAATAATATAATAATTTGTTAGAATTGATTTATAATAATAATATAATTTGTTAGAATAGATTGTTATAATAGTGTAGAGACATTAGGTTAATTGGAAAAGCCGGAGAGATGAAAAATTAACAACTGCCTTCACCGGGAATCGAACCACGGACCTCTGGAATACCAGCCCAGCGTGCAGAACTACTGCACCACGAAGGCGCACTAGGAAGGCGGGAGAAATACTTTATAATAGATTTATAATTATAATAGTCGTTATAATAGATTTCATGATAAGCTTTTTTTCAATTTAACTATTAATTTCTGCAAATATTTACATGATTACTTTAATTAACAAAAAATATTTCGAGCACACTTTAACACACTTTGATACAGAATAATCTTTTGCACGCCAGTGAACTATATTAAATTTTCCAATCTAATTCAGACATCTTGACTATTATTGATGTAATTTATAAAAAATATAATTGGTATGCTTTACAATTATTTGATTTACAATATTATTGTAATACTCTTTCCTCTAATATTGTAATTAATGAAAGATGTTTGTAATGCTAATATGTATGTTTACCAATACCTTTTATTTTCTCTGTTAGCTCTCGCATTTATTACTTTTATTCAAGTAATTAGCCTGCTTGTTAGATATTCTTTACTTGTTCTTGTGATTATGATATGTAATTCTATTTCTTTATTTTTATTTTCCTCTTGGCTACAACTGGCTTCGAAAAGTAAAATTGTAACCCTGTAGGCAAAGGGGGGGGAAGAAATTTTGATTCGCGCAGTTGGACTATACCAGGACGAGGGGAGATTTTCGTTTGCGCAGTTGGAGTACACCCTTTGAATCTACCCCGTATGATCCCGAAGTTTGTTTTTCCTTTTGGCTACACATCTCTGATCATCACGCAAGTCTTGGCACTTAACTATACGGTTATCGTTAGTCTGTACTATCACCATCTTTACATACTCGACTTAGCTCGGGGATTTCGCATTGTCTTTCAGGTGAAAATGAAACTCAAAAAGTGATGTTTGGGAACTATTTCGGAAATTTTAAACAAATGGCAGCTTCAAAGAAACTGACTTTAACAATGCTTTTGAGGCATGAAAGAATCGATGAAATCGTTGCATATGTTCGCAAGAAAATGGTCGTGAAAGATATAGTAGAGAAACAGAATAAACACATACATAATTTATTTTTAGCAAGTCCGGAAACTTTTGAAAGCCCTGGTTGGTTTGATGGTAGTTCAGCTAGAGTTCTGGTGTTCCTCTGGTGTCAAGTTAATCATTTAAACTGCAAACGAGCTAACTGTGATTAAAAGTGTAAATCCTTCTTTGATTATATCATCTTTTCTAATGGTTTTCAAAGAGTACTATTTTCCATTTGTAACCAACACAACAAATATTCAATTCTGGATCCCAAGTTCTCTCAAATCTTATACGTGAAAATTTAAATGAAATACCTTCTTGAGGGTCAGCATCTTCAGATTTCTTATCTCCATATCCTTAAATTTCCGAAAGATAATATCGAATCTCCAGAAATAAATTAATCGTTGCTGCATGAATTTTTGAAATTTCGAGAAAGAAAGATATTCGAGGAAATGCAAGCACCAGGCATATATATTTTATTGAAATTACAGAATAATAATAATTATCGTTATTTCATGCACTTTGCCGTTACATGTGAAGTTCCGTTACATGTTTCCATTGCATATTTGGAGTGGTTTAATACGAAATCCTTTTTCATTCATTCATTGAATAAGAAAATCTGATTTTGCCTTTATTGATTAAAATGTGTTGGAAAAGAATTTCAGAGCAACATTATAGTATGAAACATTTTAATGATTTTCGATCTAAGAAAACACCACCCCTTTTTCTAGTTCCGATCAAGAAATCTTAAAAGCGTCTGAAAAGTTAAGTATACTATACTGGCTGGTTTTATTACTCCTATAAATGTAAACTAGAATATCAGAATTTGTAAAACGTCAAAGAATCTCTTGCATATACTATTAATACTATGCTACTCTCAGGTATACTGTGGATACTATGGATACTATAGTCTTAGGTATACTATACTTTTAAAGGATATGGAGATAAAGTTTCGGATATGGTTAAAGATCTGAATAAAAGCAAAAAAAAAATTCACGGAAGATAAACTATTAAATGGGAAGTAT